GAAGAGTGGTTGGCTGGAATAACCAACTTTTAATACTCTTCAGCCGAGATAAGGATCTAAGGTAAAGAGTGGTTGGCTGGAATAACCAACTTTGAGTACTCTTCAGCCGAGATAAGGATCTAGGCTGATGAGGTTGACAGGTATGACCAAATAGATTACAAAGCTAAGACCGAGATAGATATTTCGGCCAGAAAAAGTTATACTTCGTGCAAATTACAGTTGAAAAATAAGCGCAAGCATAGAGTTAACCGAACAAATAGTTGAGCAAAAGAAGATTTCATTGAAAATTCAAATCAAAGGTACAAAAGATGGGGCCTTAGCCCGGTTACACATTCTTTCCAAAGAAGTAAAAAGAAGAAAATACGGGATCAAGCAAAAAGGTCGTCAAGATCCGCATCCAGATCAACTCGAAGCCTGGTTTCAGCAAGTAGCTCGGTCACATTGTCAACCAAGTCTTCCACCGGTGGCTCCACTCGAGCTGACTGAACAGCGGGATCGTTGACGACGATTGGGGCATTGTTGGGCTCTGATGCTTCTTCTTCTTCCTCAACTTGAAGAAATTTTTGTTGAATGGCATTGGCATACTTCGCCATATAACTCGGTATGAAATGTGGATAAGGGTTTAGGAAGACCTCGATCTCTTGGCCATGACCGAGCTGTGCCATGGTTGCCTTCCACCCACATTTGAAAAATATATCCGTAGTAGCTTCGCACTGCAGGATATAGGTGGCTTCACCTTCTTTGTAACCACGATCTTCCGCGTCCTCCATCTTTTTCTCAAGCTCCGTTATCTCGGCATCTTCTTCTTCTCGACTTTAGCAAGCTCGCGCAGATAACGGTCCTTCAGGTCGGTTAAGGCCTTTTGTTTGTCTGCCTCCACCGAATCTACTAGCCCAGTGAGTCGGGCGACTTCTGATTGAAGCTCAGCTATTTTTTGTTTGGCTTCGTTTAGCTCAACCGTCTTGCTATCAGCCTCAATCACGACCAGCCTTGTCGTCTTGCGCAGCTCCAGGACACGCTTGTGTGCAATATAGTTCTTCTGCATGGCCTGTAAGAAGGCAGTAAGTAATTTTGAGTGAAAACCAAGCGAACAGATGTCCAAAATTGGGAAACAAAGGAAAAATACTCACCAACACCATCGATTTGGTGGCCGAGCGGATGGCTTTCAGCTCGGTGAGATGATCGTGGTGTTCCATGTCAGGGGGCAAGCACACGCTCTTAGCCAGGTTGAAGGCGAGCATGTGGTCTTTGTCTGCCACCACTGAATCGGTGTCTCGAATGGCTCGGTTCCGGTATGATAACTTCGGGGCCCACTCATAGGAGCTAGCTCGGTCAGAACATTCAGGCTGTGGGCTCGGTGGCGTGGTTTGGGGAAGCACGGTTTCATCCTCGTCAACAAGGCGTGGCTCGGTGGTGGAAGTCCGAGCACCCTTGCTTGGCCGGGATGAGGACGGCTGAGCGGTTGGAAGGGCTACCACGGCCCCTAGAGTCTGGCCGGCTTGTGGTACCTTGGCCTGATTTGTTTCGGTGATGAGTGCTCTTACTGCTCTCTTTTTAGCCATTTCTTGTTCTACAGTCAATGGGATAAGGTTAATTTGTGGAAGGGTTGGATCAGGTTTAGGAGAAGGTTCCAGAAGAAAATCTGTTACCCTGGTCTTCCTTCTACTACTGTATCTATATGTCGGCTCAAAGTTGAGTAGCTCGGCCTAACCTCGATCGCGATATCTTAGTGCGGCGTGAAGTGCGTTAAGATTGGGGTAACTGTACTGCGACTTTAGATGGTTCAAGTCTACATAAGGAAAAAAAAAAGCAACGGTTAGCACGGTGCAAAATATATAAACAGGGTAAAGAACGCATAAAAACTGAGCCGAGGTAATATACCTAGCTATCTTCATTCTGGCCAAGGGAGTATTGGTGGAATAGTTCAACTAAACCAAGGTTAAGGCCAAGCCGGCGATTTAGCTCGGCGATGCCGTTTATTGTTCTGTATGAATTGGTGCTAAGTTGGGTTGGGTATATCCTAGTTTGCCTAAGGAATTCGCACAAGAGTGGTTGAACTGGGAATCGGAGGTTGGCTTCAACAATGGATAGCACGGTAAAAGGTACAAAGCCCGTTTTTTCCCATGGGGTTGTGTCTAGTTCGGCCAGGGAAAGATGGACGTCATCTGAAATTTGGTAATCCTTGCGGAATTCGGTAATCCTTGCGGAATTCGGCTATGGCCCCTGGAGAGTTCACTAAAAATCGATACTTCCCCATGTGGCCTTAAATTATGTGTAATTTAGCTAAGTGTTGAGATGACCTTCAGTATCTCGATTGAGCGTGCAAAGGGGTGCCTGGCCAACCTAAGTCAGTCTGCAAAGTGAAAAGGAAAAGTATTAAGCACAGATCATTGGACCGTGCTATAAGAAACAAAGGAAAAATAAATGGAGTCCTAGCTTGGCTACGTGAGATACTATCCGTCCTTAGCTCTGCTGGAGTGAAGGACTCTAGCTCGGTTCAGTGGAGCGAGAGGTTCGTAGCCCGGTTGAAGCTTAGGATACTACATTCTTGGTTCGGTTCTTATTAAGTAAGAGAGCTGGTTTGGCCCCAAGTGGTAGCCCGGTCTTTGGTTAAGGTTTTCTAGTTCGGTAAGTGCGCACACCTAATACAGTTCCCTAGCTCGGCTAAAGTGAAACAGAAGGTTCTTTGACCGATTGAAACTTAATCTAGTTCGGCTAGGTTCACACCTTAGATACAAATAGGTTGCTAGTTCGGTTGGCATAACATTTTCGATCAAAAACGTCATTTCTCAAACTGATCGTGAATTCAGTGGGTCTATCACATGGTTTTTGAAACAAAGTGGTTATTTCCCTTAGAAACTACAAGAAAGTGTTTTTGCAAAACATATATATTATTCTATGTATTACAATACAATGTGAAATGAATGGAAAGAAATAGATGATTGAGCTACTTACGGATTGAAGACGGAAGGATGCAGATTTGAAACCACGAAGATGGTGATGAAAACACAGGCTTCGCAGGTACTAAGGTTACAAAAATGGAGGCTCAAGCAAATAAGAGAGAGAAGATGAATAGTAGAAGTGGTTGGTTCAAGACATAGGGTTTTTGTTTAAGGCGTGTGAAAAAGGCGGGATTGTTCAAATTTTTCGGAGTGCGAAGACGGCGGTGACAGTCGTACTTCACCAATGGGGGCTGGCCACGTGTCCATAGAATAGAAAGCGATTCAGTTTTACAGCGACTGAAAAGACGTTTTGACCGAACAGATTAGTAGCCCGGCGTGAATTTAGCTCGGTTGAAGGCCACTTTTTAGCTCGGTAGGTAGAAAGGTAATCCCAAATCATGCTTGGCAGATGGAATTAAGGGGCAATTGAGAGGGAGTTTTATATGTGCATTAGGGCTGAGCTAGGCCCAGGCGTAGTAATGGGCCGTTTTGTGGGCCGAGGTAAAAATGGGCTTAATGAAGTGGACCATGGTGTTAGAGTGGTTAGCTCGGTCCAAGTAGTTATGGTCACCGCGGTCAGGATAGTGATTATTAGCTCGGTCATAGTATTCAGAGCCGAGGTGCTTGGGCTTCTTAAGCTAGACCTCGCCTTTTTAGCTCGGTCAAGGTTTGCTGTAGTTAGCCCAGTCCCAACAGAAGAAAACCAAGGTACAAGTGAACATGAGCCGAGCTACATGCTGCATATAGAGGCGTCGGGCTAAGTATGAAAGAGATAGCGTTAGCTCGGTCATACTATTGTCCAAACCGTGGTAAAACCATCTCACTTGGTTTAAGCAGTGAGGGGGATGTTGAAGGATGAGCATTATCTTTCAGGAGAGTGATTCCTAGGAGGACTCTAAGTGGAGAAATAAGAGTCCTACTAGGATTGAGCCATGTGAAACCTATAAAAGCTCACAACATAACCTATGGAGAGGTAACACAACTTTGATCCTCGAATACACAGAGCTTTTGTCTATTTGTCTATTTTGCTGACTTAGGCATCGGAGTGGTATCCGGCACACGCCCGCCGGCTAGCTCACGTTTGTGTTTTCAAGGAGTAAAACGACGACGTTTGGAGGAGTGCAGACTTGATCAACAGGATTATACGAGAAAAAATATTTCGTGCTCGTACAATTGGAATATTACATTAAGAAATTTTTTAGAGTGTTATATTGAGTGTTACATTTAGAAAAAGTACACTAATTTTTTTTTTGAAATATTGAAATGTTACATTAAAATTATATATTTATTCAAAACTTACTAAGAAGTTTTTGTACTTCTTTTAAAATATTTGAAAAATCCCACATCTTTTTGTAATATTTGAAAATTTTCATATTTCAAATCATTTTTATGTTCTTTTTGAAATATTTTCCAAATAAAAAAAGATTTTCATATAAAAATTCATTCCAAATTTAATTTTCGTCAATTTTACACATTACCTTTCTAGAGCAAAAGAAGAAATAAATGTATAATTGTAAATCTAATTTTTAAATAATATATTAAAGTTACTTTTTCAAAGTCAATTAGATTAATTAGTCTATAAAAAAAATGTTGTTTGAGATGACCTAAATAAGTGTACTTTTTGTCTTTTTATGAAAAGATATGCAGAAAAGTAGGGAGGTGATGTGATGGAAAAAAGATAAAAATATGGATTATTTGAGGTATGCCAAACTTGGCCTAAATGTTGGTTTGGGAAGTAGATTGGTTTTTTGACTTTTTTGGCTATTTTAGTCTGGGCTAAAAAGTTTGGTTTGGGAAGGACTTTTTGATTTTTTGACTTTTTTTGTGAGAGAATAGTGTAATGATTATGGATTGAATATAATATTTTGTTTATTGTAGCTGAAATAGTCTATTTTATCTTTTGTGACTATTTTAGCCAAAATCATCTTTCCAAACGGACCCTCAGTGGATCGTTTATAAGTAAATTTTTCCAAAAAAAAAATATAAATAAATAAATAAATAAAATCATAAATGGAGTTGGGTGGAGTCTGTACTGCCCGTAATCCGTTGTACCAAATACTCTTTTTATCTTTTTCTCTCTCTCCTTCCTTTTATTTAAGTTGGGGGCACTAGTCATAAAAGCTGTCTAATTCTTCTTGTTGTTGTTCTTCTTCTTCTCTGTTTGTTCAGTTTCAGAGGTTTTTGAGGGGTTTGGTCCTCTTACTCAGGTCATTGAAATTTGTTGATTGATTCAAGAAACCTAGTGGTGACCATCTGATATTATACACACACACACACATATATAGTACAGATACAAAACTTTGAATCCTATGGAAGGTGCTGAAAAGGAATCTGTGGGTAAGGAGAGTGATGATTCTGAAGGCCCTTGTAATCTCAACAGCCACCACCCAGTTGCTCCTCCTTTTCCTCCTCAATTTCAAAAGGTACTTTTTTCTTTGCATTTTACTCTCTCTCTCTCTCTCTCTCTCTCAATTTTATTGTCTTTCTTTTTGTTTCATACTTGGATTTTGTGGATTTTATCACCATATAAGTGAATGAATTCTGATTTTTGTTCTAAATTCTTTGGTGGGTATGTTCCAATCATCTAAAATTTTATTCAGTGTTGGAGCTTTCTCTCTCTCTCTCTCTCTCTCTCTCTCTGTGGATTCTACTTATGTTTTTCACTATTTATGCCATGTTTGTATATTTGATTTTTGAAGTGAAAGAAAGGGGAAAATTTTAGTAAAAGAAAGTGAAGTGAAAGAAATTTTCGTTCCTTTGTTTGGTAAGTGGTTGCTTAGGAAAATGAAAAAAATGAACCATAAATTAAACTGTGATGCTAGTGCATAATCTTATGTCTGTATAAATTGGATTCTCCCCCATTGGACATTTTGCATCGGTAGAATTCATTTTAGTGTTGCAATCACATTAAAATCCTCTAATGCTATGCATTTTTTAACATAAGTGAGGAATTATTGGGATATATCACATTTGTATTGGGAAATGCACCTTCACAATAATTCATGTGGGGTTTTTTTTGTTTGTTCTAGAGCATAATCTTACAAATTATTGGCCAGGATGAGTTTGTATAGTATTTTTATTATATTTCTTCAACTCAGATGTTTGTGTATTTTTCTGAATCAAAGCATGTACTGTTGTAGGTTGGAGATTCGAGCGAAATAATTGAAGAACCACCAACCAAACAACACCAGACGAGGCAAAACCTGGCCTTAGAGATACCCTCAAGAACAGTTGAGGTCACTACTGAGGATTTTGTTAGAATAAATATGCCCCCAACGCCAAGTCGAACTCCCAAAAGAGTAAATTTTTCACCAATCCCGAGCCCAAGTTATTACAAATTCAATGATTGTCCAAGTCCCTTGATGTCTTCTAGAGGTAAACCATCCTTCAAAAGCCTCCTTCCAAAACTAAGCTTCAAATTCCGGAATACTACTTCAGAGATAGAGAAGGCCGCAATCCTAGCTTTGGGAGATTCACTAGCAGGGACACGGGGTAAGCCTTTGATTCGAAGGACACCGTCCCTTACAAAACTTTTCACATCCAAGATGAAAAGAACTTCATCTTTACCTGTTTCCCCAATTATACACTCAAATCCAGAGTCCATGCACGGAGGGAACACAGTCGAAGCTGTAAGTTTTACCCAGTATAAGCTTTGAGAATTGTGTTCACTTTGTAGTTTCTTAATTGTGCTTGTGTGTAATGAATATCATGATTACAAATTATAATACCCGCTTGCTTTTTATGCATTTTTTTTCCGATTCAGGTTCTTTCTTGATTATTTTACTTTTCAATTCTTTTTTATTTTTTTATTTTTGTGTGTATGGGGTAATTGGTTTTTGGACCTTCCCCCAATCATTTTGTCCAAATCTCTACTTACAAAATTTCTCACTATACAGAAATATAGGACTCAGCTACCTATTCATCGTTCACGGTCCGTTCCTTCTTTGATTAAAGAAGGAAGCGTAAGGCAGATTGATCCATTAAGCGGTGTATTTCGTGTGGTTCCCACTACTCCGCGAGTGGCAGAAGCAATGCTCACAACATCGACCACAGCTCCAACAAATGATGTTGGTAATTGTCTCCTAATTGTCTTCTGTTTTAAGTACAACTTTATAACCATTGTATTGTCGATTCATTTAAAAAATTTCCTTGCGAAGTCACCAAAGCACCTTATGAATTGACTCAATTAAGTCAGTGGCATGGTGTCAAATGGTCTCGACTCCGTATCTAAGATGGTTCCTGTTACCGAGTTCTTAACATTTATATTATGTAGCAAATCCTCTTAAATCATTGCAGAAACAGAGCTTTCTTAAATTTTAAATGCTCAGTTTCTGCGCTTTGTTTACGTTTCTAGTTTCTGCTTTAACTTAATGCTCATTTTGGAGCTTGCGATAACCAACCTATGCCCTAAAGGTGTTGTGGTTCAGATGGAAATGATGATGGTGGTGAAGACATTCCCGAAGAAGCAGCTGTTTGTAGGATCTGCTTGGTTGAACTTGGGGAGGGCGGCGACACCCTTAAGATGGAATGTAGCTGCAAAGGCGAGCTCGCATTGGCTCACCAAGAATGTGCTGTAAAATGGTTCAGCATCAAAGGTAACAAGACGTGTGACGTGTGCAAACAAGAGGTTGAGAACCTACCTGTCACCCTTTTACGGATTCAAAATGCTCAGTCACATAACTTGCGAGGAAATAGAGCTCGGCAAGCTGAAATTGCTCAATATAGGCAAGTCAATGATGTTTTCTCTTGCAATGGCTAGGAAAATAAAAGAAATTCTAAATTTGTTATTTCTTTATATATATATATGTAAACGAGTATATTGTATTAAAAATGCCAAAAAAGGTCCAAAACCCGTGTACAGAAAGAGAGAGAAAACTCAACACTGAAGTTGAGTTCGGCCTCCTATAAAATCTACAAGAGAGAAAGATGATTCACAAGAGCTGTGATGCTAGTGCATAATCTTATGTCTGTATAAATTGGATTCTCCTCCATTGGACATTTTGCATCGGTAAAAAAAAAAAAAAAAAAAAAAAAATTATACCAAAATGGAAACAGTACAATAGATTCGACTAATGCTGATATTTAAAATTTAAATTGCTTGGCTTATTTGTTTTTTGTTTGATGGTTGATGGTATATTACTAAGCCTCCGTTTGGGAAGTGGGTTGGCTTTTTGGCTTTTTGACTTTTTTTGCTATTTTAGCCTGGGCTAAAAAGCTTGGTTTGGGAAGGGCTTTTTGGCATTTTGACTTTTTTGACTTTTTTTGTGAGAGAAGAGTGTAATGATTATGGGTTAGATGTGATGTTTTGTTTTTTGTGGCTAAAATAGCCTATTTTGTCTTTTGTGGCTAAAATAGCCAAAAAAGCCCACTTTAGTTCTTCCCAAACGGACCCTAAGCAAATTTTGAGGATCCAAGAAAATTTGTTCAGAAGCCTTGGGGTTATGAGTAATCATACCATCTGTAAAATGCTGATTACTAAAAGGCAATGTCTAATATCTTATTGTCAACCTTAATTTTATCGTGATATAATTTATAACTTACGAATTTTTCTTAATTTGGAGCTGATCATTTCAACTGCTGGAACAATTTTTCTAAATTACGGCAACTTTTACCAGAGTTTGGCAGGACGTTCCTGTTCTCGTCATTGTCAGCATGCTTGCTTACTTTTGTTTTCTTGAGCAGCTTTTGGTAAGTTTAGCGACTTCTAGATATACAGCACTTTCAAGCCTACCGATGTTCCTAATATTGATTTCTGTCCATAGGTTATGAAGATGGGATCGGGTGCAATTGCCATATCCCTGCCATTTTCCTGTATATTGGGTCTCTTTGCATCCATAACTTCAACAACTATGGGTACCTTGAGTTTTTAATTTTATGTAGTTTGAGACCCTTCTGCAAGCATAGTTTTGCGCCTTTGATATGCTAGTAATTTCTCTATGTTTTGTTCTTAGTGAGGAGAAAATTTGCGTGGTTGTATGCAATTGTTCAGTTTGGGCTGGTGGTTCTCTTTGCTCACCTTTTCTACACACTGGTAAGAATTACTTTTTTCAAAATAGTTTTCATCTTAACATTTTAGGAAACAAAAACAATGAAAAGTTAAAAAAGACTCCGGTGTCGTTTGGCAACGTCTGTGGTATACTGGTTTCAATTTATAGAAAACATTAAACATTTTTATGTTTATTTTGGGTAAAAATGAAAACAAAAACATGTTTAGTACACAAATTTTAAATTTTGTTCTGAAAAAAAGTGAAAAGGATTGGCTGCAGGAAGTGGTTGTTGATGGTTGGAGGTGGTGTGCGGATGTGATTTTCGGTTGTGGGAGGTGGTGTCCAGAGGTGGTTGCCACCGGTGGGAGATGGTTAACAGTGGTTGGAGGTGATTGTTGGCCACAAGAAGTGGTGGCCAAAAGTGATTGCCAATGTTTGGAAATGATGGCTGGTCAACCGCCTAAGATGATAGACAGTTGAAGGTTGTTTTCAATGAGGTGGTGACCTGAGGGGGTTACTCCCAGTAGGATGTGGTTGGTGGAGGTCATTGGTGATGGTAGCTATTAGTGATGAGCTATGGTGGCTGGAAAGGGTGGGAAAAAATAATAATAATAAAATAATTAAACAAGGGAAACCAAGTTTCTGTTTACAGTTTTAGAGATTTCTATAAATATAATCAGAAAAATGAAAATATAATGTTACCAAAAAAAGCCATTGCTTTTGTATTATTTTCATTTTTGTGTGAAAATAAATTTCAAAATTTGAAAACATCCTAGTGTTTCCTAAAAGTGGATTGTTTTCACAAATTTTTGAAATGGTTTCTATGTTTTTTGGATAATGAAATCGAAACAATACCAAGTAGGGAAGATAATTAAACATGTTTACAGAAAACATTGAACATTTTTTTCCCCCTTTTTTTGTTGTAGAAACGAAAACAAAAATGTTTGGTACATGCGGGTTTCAAAACTTTATTTTAAAAACAAGTGCAAGGAGGTGGCCGAAGGTGGTTGTCGTAGGCTGTTGTTGGAAGTGATGGTCAAAGGTGGGAGGTGGCCGACGGTAGTGATGGCCAGTGGATGGGTGGGAGTAGGAAGTAAGGAATAAAATATTGTTTTCAAAACAAGTGAAAGCAAACTCTTTTTTTTCACAAGTTAGTAGATTGGGTTAATTGTTTATAATTCTTTGGAAATGAAAATAAACACGAAAAAGAGTTTTTGTTTATAATTTTCAAAATTTTTGTAAGTATAAATAGAAATTCAATTCAGTGATATTACATGTACCAATTGAAATACGCATTAGTGTACCAATATATGCTTGGACGTTGTCACTTCAAAATTAACTTCAAAATTATAGACCTGACCCTTATACAAATTACAAAAATTCAAAATCTCTAAAATTATGTCGCATCATCTGTTGGTACACTAATTAGTATACTAAATGGGTGGAACTCACTAAATTGAATTTGGTGTGTAAATGTTATTCTATTGTAAGGATATTGATCTTCCTGAACCTTTTTGTGATCTTTCACTGATAAATCCTTCTAATGTGGTAAAAAAATTCGAATATAAATTTTCAACATCCTAGAAGGCAGAGAATGAGGTTCTTTCTAATGTGAAATTTCTCTATTTGTTTGTATGGGACTACAGCTTCATATGCAGGCAGTTCTCTCGGTTTTTCTTGCCACGCTTATCGGATTTGGAGGTGCGATGAGCGGGATTTCTATTCTTCGTGAGTTTTTGAAGTTGTGGAAAAGATGGCGTGCTTGGCCAAATCACCAGCAGGGTTCTCAGGAGGTAACACAGTTGCCTGAATCTGCACATACACCGCAAACAGATACTCAGCCTGTAACTTAAACTGGGGACTCAGGAATCGAGTGCGTCAGCTGATTTGAAATTGTTATGAGATACATTCACGCCATAGTCAGGACCAGAACAAGCTATATGTAAATAGTTAGATGAAATATCGTGTGTGGTTTCTCTCGAGCAACTGTACAGTGAATACACGGTGAAGCTATGGTGTCCAAGTTATCATGGAGCTTCTTTCCCAGTGAGGAGTTGCTAATTATCAAAGATTTTGCCACAAGGCTAAGCATTCGGTTGAGTTTTTGTTTTTCTTGCTTTTTACTCTGCTGTAATATTGTTGATGTGCATAATCCATAGTAAGTCAATTACTTCCAGATCATTGAGGTCAGAGAAGTCATTGGGGCATGGTTCTAATTTAGCGAAACAAGAAATTAACTAGTTATTACTAGAGCTGCAAACAAACTTAGGTTCTCATAAACAATCCAGAACTCAACTCAGTTGTAATTTAAAAACTCAGAGTTGATCTTGAGCCTTACTTTCATGCTCAATTATTAACAAGGCTGCATCACAAGCTTGGTCCATGGAAAGGCTTCACAAACACGCATTTAAAACTATGGCAGCTGTATATAAACTTACCAAGTTGAGTTTAATAAATTTAAAAAAAAATCAAAATTTATTCGAATTTAATTTATTTACTTAATGATCTTTAATGAGTTTTTAGCAAGTTGAATACAAGTACAACTTGAATCGATTGATTCATATTCATTATCTAGGGTTTCAACATCTCAAACAATAATTTTTCACAACACAACCAACTCGTCAATATAGTAGCATGACAATGGAGACCATGCCATAATTTGGGTAATTAAATATAATTGAATGGGTACTCCAACTATGCAATTCCAATCCCTCAAGGAGGAAAAAATACAAAGAAAGAACAAACAAAACAAAACACAATGCATTTTCAAAACAAAAATGGATCAACCAAAACAAAACCCTACTGATTATACATTTTAAAGAAGCAACTTCCATGATACTAGTCAGCTACAGTAGACAGTTGTTTCATACTTACAAGCCGGGTAGGCCGTCTCTTCCCAATTTCATATCACCAAACAAAATGGCACTTTTATCCCTGGGATATACAATGGATGCCTTTGGGGCTTTGCTAGTTCACAGTTACTGAACCAGTTGAGGTTTGAAATGACGGAAATGACCAAAATGCCATGTAGAAATGCAACTCCATGAAAAGAAGATTGGTTTTGCCTCAATTTCAATGACTCTTGTCATTGCTTGTAACTAGAACTGCCAAGTTTTCCTGACAGCAATGGCTTCTCCTTCAAACTGGAGTTTAACACAGAATCAGAGCTGTTTGATTGACTTTCAGAAAACCCAGGTCTCATCCAGATCTTAATGTGTCCCTCTCGGCAGATAGTGAGGACAGATTCCTGAGTAAATATCAAACCAGAGAGGGGTTCAGTGTGAACACGGTGTGTGACTAGTGGAGAGAGCTTTGGAACATCTCGCATGCTCGGAGCAGGTTGCAGTATACCAACAGGGCAAGCACTGTCCCAATGAGATGACTGACTCCCTGTGCTGAAAGTGGGGGACCCACCAGGAACACGGACAGTAGGGGACCCACCAGGAGCACGGCGTAGAGGCACAACAATCTCATCCATCTCCAGGTCCCACAGAAGCAACTGTGTGTCCTGCATAACAACATTAAGTTGCAAATGACAAGGCATAAAGATGTTGCAGCTGGCAAATAATGACATAGCACAATGCAAAGTTCAAATTTTTAGAGATGTCATGACAAGACTATAAGGTGAAAAAAAGTATATTCTTAGGCACATGGTTTTAAATAATGGCATTGGGATATGTATCGGTATTAGCAATATGGTTATAAATCAGCCAATATTGGACAGTATCAGCCAATTCCTGCACTTGGAATCTACCAATGAACCATACTCTGTGTGGAGACATATCTAGGGTTAAACAATTCAAGAATTCATCAAAACAAATGTGAGAAGACTGGCCTTTATGATGATAACAACAAATGCTGTTTCCTAGACACTAGTGAAGCACTTGTGTGAAAATGACCTCAGTATACAGCAGGCCCTGATGATGATGACTGTAAAACTTCCCATCTTTTCTAGTCACATATGACAGGCTTAAAACACTCTAGTAAGCATAATCATTATTTTTTTCCACCTATCATTCCCATCATGTTGTTGAGCATTAAGTTGAGAACCATTTATAAGCTAAAACAGCAAATGGGATAGTTCCATTTTCCATTCTACCTGGTACCAACTCCTTTAATACTTTCCATTGGAATAACTAGCAGGAAAATTATCTCATACCAACAGATCCTTCAGAAGTACAGATCAATCCCATGACCAGACATATTATTTGAACAATTCCACACTAGGCTTCAGAGGACAAATATGAAGGAATAAAAATAAATAATTGAAGCAACGTGGCTTCAAGACTGAGAGCGGCCACTTTGAACTGTTTTCCTTAATCTTCCTTCCGTGTCTGTCGTGCTTGAGATCCAAAGTAGGAAGTCTGATCATATTCCTCGCAATTTTACACCCAAACCATGGTTTGGCACTAAAAATCATTATGACATTCAGCCAATCACAAAATATAACTAATTAACTAACATTCAGTCAGACGCAGATTAATTTAAAGGAATCAAAACTACCACTATCACTGACGACTGTTGCATCAAATATGGAGTTCTATATACATCTCAGTTGCGGAGAATTTCACAAATAACCATTTGTTAGGAAGTCAAAATATGGAGGCTAAATTGACTCAACTAGATGATAAGAGCCATATAATACCTACCTCAAGTTTGAAGAAAATACAATTAGCCCCACACTTTTGATATAATTACACCTGCTTCCCTCAAGATTTTAATTCGCATAACACATAGGTCCTTTTTCATCAGTAATTCGTGAATCATATTGGATAAAAAAAACTTAGAAAATATGAGGAAGAAGAACTCCGAAAAATATGAGGAAGAAGGAATATATTTCTCTTATATTCAAAACTTCTTATCTTACAAGACCAAATGACACTCCTTATATAGGAGATATTACAAACATCATTATAACCCATTATATGCCACTTACATATTATATATTACCACTATCTACCACTAACATATTATATACATGCCACTATCTACCACCAACACCACTATCACATATTCTATACATGCCACTATCTACCACCAACACCACTATCACATATTCTATACATGTCACTATTTACCACCAACACCACAATCATATTCTATACATGCCACTATCCTTCACCAACACCACTATCATATTATATACATGCCACTATCTACCACCAACACCACAATCATATTCTATACATGCCACTATCCTTCACCAACACCACTATCATATTATATACATGCCACCATCTTATTATATACATTAACACAAATTTCTAGCACTCCCCCTCAAGCTGGTTTGAAGATATCTTCCATAGCCAGCTTGCTAGTCAGCTTATCAAATTGCTTCTTGTGTAGTCCCTTCGTTAGCACATCAGCTAATTGTTCACCAGTTGGAAGGTAGGTCATACAGATTATGCCAGCATTGATTTTCTCCTTGATGTGTCTACCCACTATCTACATTAATTTTACGTCAAAGTTGTGGGGCTAACTACATTTTTCTCAAACCTTAGAAGAGGAGAGTGTAATTTACCCTAATAAATAATATTTAACACCAGCGAAAATGAAACCATACAAATATGCATCCATAAAAGATTTATTTATCTGTTATTGGCAATTATTTATGACTGCTCAAAAAGATACCTGTCCAACAGAACCAAACCGGTACATGACATGTTCCTCTAAGCCATCTGAACTTGGTGATGACCAATATGAATCAAAAGCCACTCCACTGACCTGCCACCCTCCAGTAAAAATGAATATGGCAGTCATCGTTATTGATCTTGAAAGGAAACTATGAGTTCATACCATTCACTGGAGAAAACTTACCCATGAGTTGTGTCCCTCACCCCATGCTACAACCTTCCGATCTTCCATACTCCAAACTTGAACTAGATCATCTTCACCTCCAGTCAAAATGTATTTGCCATCCACGCTGTTGAGGTGCATTTGGTATCAATTATACTAATATCTTGAAATGGGTTTAATAGCTAATCTAAAAGAACACCTAGGAAAAACAGCATAGCTTTATGAAAAGAAACAAAAAACAGGAGAAGATCAAAAGGGTAAACAAACAATAATCTCTCATGGAAGGAAAGCCACAAAAGTTTCTCACCTCCAAGCGCAACATAATAAAGCACCATAGTAGCTTTTGCTACCACATATGAGTTGTTCATTTTTGTAATCAAATACACGTAGACAACCTACAATCATTGATTAATTGAAGCCCATATATATCATTAACAAATACAAATGGAAAAAGAGAGAAAAAAATACAAAAACAAAGTAAAACTGCTGTACGCTACAAAGAAATTAGATCAAGACAATACCATCTCTTCCAACAGTTGCAATATATGTCCCATCAGTTGAAAAAGCAATGCTATTAATTGAACCTTGGCAAATATGCCATCTAGCAACTGGGTTCTGCATAAACCCACATGAAGTCAACAAACATACAGGTGGAAGTACTCGACATATAGTACTCTGTTCACTTAACACCTCTCTACATGGTCATTCAAGAAAGCCATAAAGTTTCACAACGTCCCTTCAGTAGCATTATGGGACTGCCAGTCCATATATGTATTATTGATTGACATATCTTGATATCTTATATTACAAATCAGAGTGGCTCATTATATAGGAGAGGGTTTGGGTAGTAGGTGAGGAGTAGGTGAGGGTAAATTGGTGGTAGGTGTAGTAGGTGTGGTAGTAGGTGGTGGTAGGTGTAGGTAAATTCTAACAAATGATATATTGAATGTTACAATGATTCCTATATATAGAAGAGTAGGTGGTAGTAGGTGGTAGATGGAGTAGGTAAAGTGGAGGTGGTAGGTGGAGTAGGTGAAGTGGAGGTGGTAGTGGTGTAGTGGGATGTCTGTATCTCTCAATCACATAAATTTTCCTCCAACAAAAGACGGAGCCGTACAGCCTTTAATGATGTTCTTGTGTAGTATAGTATAGTTTTACAAGGATGATGACATCATTTTTTCCGTCGTTTCGGTTGCAGTGATGTACAGTAACCAAGTTTTCATGGATAGGAGACACTGTATGGTCGTGTCAAACCATTGGTGAAGACACTGGATGGTGGTGTCATAACGTTGTAGAGGACACTGTATGGGGGTGTCATAACCATGTAGAGGACACTGTACGGCGGTGTCAGACCGATGTAGAAGACAGTTTATGGGGTCATGTCGGACCGTTGTAATAG